AATTAATGTATTGACCAACAGATCTTTCTAGGCTAAGAATCCTTGTCCTAATTCAGCCATAATACACATGTTCTTTTTTTATGTACTAGAACTGAACCATATTCAATATTCAAATAATAGTTACATGGTTAGGTCTTCAAAAAACACAGAGAGGGATCAGAATAAAACAAAGTTTTGTCACACTTTTTTCTAAGAGTGATGATACGCTGACTTACCTCACAGTATTATGAAGATTAACAAGATTATGCCTATAAGTATTCTAAGCTCTTTGGATTTAAAAATTGCAGTTGGCTGGCAGTAACGTTTTTTTAATGTCTAGTCTGAGTGGTTCATTTTATAATGAGATATGGCTTTAAAGTAAGGAGACTAAATCTTGGACAAGCATAGCCCATCAAGACTCATGTATCCAAACCTGCTTTGTCATGCCATGTGGCCGCCATGGGAAACTCTGTATTTATTCTGATGAGGATTCCATTGCTTATAACATTTCCTGAACTTCTCTTTAGGCACTGCCTTGGAGCCAGCCTGTAAGACACAGGAGAAAAGTAGCCTCCTTATTAGGGAAATTATGGAAGAATATAAAGTTCTTAAAATAAAAAAATATAAAAAACTACTAATTTACAAAGTAACTCAGTCCCCTGCAGAGACAAAATTCTATGTATCTAGCAAAGAAGCAATTGGAGCAGACAACAAATGCCAGGTTAAAAATCCTAAAGATTTATAAGATTTATCAGAAGTATTTTTAAGCACATCCATGCATGTGACATTCTTCTGGAAGACAGGAAGCGGAGCTTTTTAAACATGAAAAGTCAAACGTGGTTTTCACTTATTTTGATGCTCATATGTTGGCCAACAGTTTTAGTATGTGTGAACATTTGTGTATACGTTATAATTGTTAAAGAGTTTTTATGTGCTTTGGTTTATCTTCACAACAACCCGAAGATACTTCAAAGATAAATATTATCATTACCTTCATTTTACTTACATAAAAATTCAGGCTCACAAAGTTAAAAGAAAGCCCAAGTTGATGCAGCTAATAAATGAGTCTGACTTTAGACACGCCCCTTCTAATTTCTCACCCAGAACTCTCAACATTTTAACATATATGTGTGTGTGTGTGTATAGTTTTTTTTTTTTTTTTTTTTTTTGAGACATAGTCTCACTCTGTCATCAAGGCTGGAGTGCAGTGGTGCGATCTTGGCTCACTGCAACCTCCGCCTCCCGGATTCCAGTGATTCTCCTGCCTCAGCCTCTTGAGTAGCTGGGAATATAGGTGTGTGCCACTATGCCCAGCTAATTTTTTGTATTTTGGTAGAGACAGGGTTTCGCCATGCTGGTCAGGCTTGTCTGGAACTGCTGATCTCAGGTGATCAGGCCTCCCAAAGTGGTGGGATTATAGGTGTGAGCCACCACATCCAGTCAACTCTGAATGCTTTCAACATTTTAACTAATATTTTCTAAAGTGTGTTATGAAAAATTCTATACCCTCAACATGGTCTTTATAGTGGTTTAAAAATATGTTCACAAATTATTGGACACTATTCTATTCAAAAGTTAGAGCCTACAAAAGGAAAAGGCAGAGAAACCTAGTTCTTCTCTTCTTGAATGTGGGGTGGAGTTAGTGCCTCATTAGTAGATGTGAGCATATGTGACATCTGATATGAGGTCATAAGACATTACAGCTTTCTCCTTGATCTCTTTCAGATCATTCATTCTGCGGGAAAGCAGCTACCATGTCATGAGAATATTCAGGCAGCCCTATGGTGAGGGCCCCATGGTGAGGAATTGAGGCCTCCTACGAACAGCCACGTGATGGAGTCACCTTGAAAGCAGACCTTTCAGCTCTCTTCAAGCTTTCAGATGATTGCAGCCCCACATAACATCTTCATTACAATCTAAGGAGAGACTTTGAATGAGAACCACCCAGTTAAGAAACTTCTAGATTCCAGGCCGGGCGTGGTGGCTCACGCCTGTAATCCCAGCACTTTGGGAGGCCGAGGCGGGTGGATCACGAGGACAAGAGATCAAGACCATCCTGGTCAACATGGTGAAACCCCGTCTCTACTAAAAATACAAAAAATTAGCTGGGCATGGTGGTGCGTGCCTGTAATCCCAGCTACTCGGGAGGCTGAGGCAGGAGAATTGCCTGAACCCAGGAGGCAGAGGTTGCAGTGAGCCGAGATAGCGCCATTGCACTCCAGCCTGGGTAACAAGGGCGAAACTCTGTCTCAAAAAAAAAAAAAAAAAAAAAGAAACTTCTAGATTCCCGATTCTCAGAAACTGTATAAGATGATGTTTGGTATATTTTAAGCCCATAAACGGTAGGTAATTTTTCAGTAATAGATATCTGATATGGTCCTCAAAGTGTTCTGTGATCACATAAGTTTGGGAAACCCTGTATTCTACAATGCTTTTAAAGATTTATAATGTCTGTTAGTATATAAAATCTATATACTAACCTTTATATAGTCCTGCAGCAAAGAAACTAGTTTTTACTTTTTCATAATGCTCCCCCTTTAACAAAATATCATTCACACCCCCATGAAACTGATTCAGGATGATTTGAACTGCATCCATATAGGTTGCTAGCAATTTCAGTCCATTGCAAATCTCCAAGTAAGCATTTTGACAAAATACCAAAAACTATGCTACACATCCAGTATATGTTTGAGTCTCTATTGGACACTCTACAAAGCAGTAACTTGGACTCTTTCAAAATGTCAATGTCATAAAAGACAAAAATGTTTGGGAAACTGTTGTAGACTAAGAGAGACTAAGGCCAGGCATGGTGGTTCATGCCTGTAATCCCAGCACTTTGGGAGGCTGAGGAGGGCAGATCATGAGGTCAAGAGATCAAGACCATCCTGGCCAACATGGTGAACCCCCATCTCTACTAAAATTACAAAAATGAGCTGGGTGTGGTGGCACGCCTGTAGTCCCAGCTACTCAGGAGGCTGAGGCAGGAGAATTGCCTGAACCCTGGAGGCGGAAGTTGCAGTGAGCCAAGATAGTATCACTACACTCCAGCCTGGACAATAGAGTGAGACACCATCCCCCCCCCGCAAAAAAAAAAGAGACTAAGAAGGCAGGTCAACTAAATATAATGCTTGATTCTGGATTGGATTCCGGATCAGAAGAAAATATATTCAAAAAGTATACTATTGAAGCAATTCAGAGAATTTAAATTATGGATTGTAATTAAATAACATTGTATTGATGTTAAATTGTCCAAGTGTAATAATTGCACTGTAGTTAAGTAGAAAAATAACTTTTTGCAGCCGGGCACAGTGGCTCAAGCCTGTAATCCCAGCACTTTGGGAGGCCAAGGCGGGTGGATCACGAGGTCAAGAGATCGAGACCATCCTGGTCAACATGGTGAAACCCCATCTCTACTAAAAATACAAAAAATTAGCTGGGCATGGTGGCACGTACCTGTAATCCCAGCTACTCGGGAGGCTGAGGCAGGAGAATTGCCTGAACTCAGGAGACGGAGGTTGCGGTGAGCCGAGATCGCGCCATTGTATTCCAGCCTGGGTAACAAGAGCGAAACTCCGTCTAAAAAATAAAGAAAAATGTCTTTTTGCTTAGGCATGCTGAAACTGTCGGGCTAAAAAGTTAAAATATCTGCAACCCTCAAATGACTCAGAAAAAAGTAGGAAATACACATTTGTGTCCATCAGGGTGGGGAAAGGGTGGGTAAAAGTGAGAAGAGAAATGCCAGACAGAGCTTCTATCTAGAGTACAACTAAACAGTTAAGATGCGGGATAGGATACAAACACCCTCGTCTAATTGCTGAGTTTTGAGATCTCTGCTCAGCAGCAGTCCCAACAGACTGATGAAGGAAGTGAAACACCTGTTCTTGGCTCATCCTTCAAGTCATGGTGTCAGTGTTTCTACCTGACCACCATAGCCCAGTGGCTTCCTCTCAGTTGTTCTCATTCATAGACCACTCTGTAAATCTCATAACACTTCTTCAGTTTTAGAATTTCAAGTGTGTATATATTCTATACATCTTTATTGTCTATCTTTTCCTGCTGGACTGCATATTTCCTGGGGACATGAGTAATATCTCTTTCATTTACCGCTCTTTTTCCAGTCCTTCACCCAAAGCCTGGCCCATCATATGTACTTACAATGTGTTTTTAAAGTCAATTAATGTTTTTGCCATTCTTTTTTTCCTACCGTGTGGATCTTCTAGGTTACCTCTCACACTCAGTAAGTGAAAAGTGCCTTTATGCTACCCAGTGATGTACACATGTACCTGTGAGTGTCACTGCCCCATATCATAGATGATTACTGGTCCCCACAAACAGATTTTTCTTAGAGGTGAGCTGAGTATTTAACCATCATCTAGCCATAATAAGTGGTATGCTGGGTTGAACAGTGTTCCCCAGAAATTCATGTCCAACTAGACCCTCAGAATGCAAAATTATTTGGAAATAGGATACTTGCATATAATTAGTTAAATTAAAATGATGTCATACTAAAGTAGGGTGTACCCCAATCCAATGACTAGTGTCCTTGTAAGAAGAGAAAAGAGAGATACGGGAACACACAGGCACAGAAGGTAGAATGCCATGTGAAGAGCAGAAATTAGAGAACTGCATCTACAGGACAAGGAACCCCAAGGGTTCTTGATAACCCAAAGGTAGGAAGAAAGAAGGAAGGATTCTTCCCTAGAGCCTTCAATGAGGCCATGGCCCTGCTGACACCTTGATGTCAGACTTCTGGCCTCCAGAACTGTGAGACAATCCATTTCTGTCATTCTAAGCTACATAGTTTGTGCTCATGTATTATGGCAGCCCAGGGGACAAATGTAGATGGGGTGTAGGCATATTTGTAAAACTGATGTGCCGGATACACCCTCCCTAGGTAAGCCTCCACTCTAGCTCTATCTTCCACAGTAATTAGCCTTATGAGCCTATTGCACAGACTGACCACAATGAAAAGAGTTTCAATAACAAGTCCCCAGCCTATCAAATTGTTAATAGCCATTGACACTTTATTTGTCATCCCTCTTGGAATATTTGCATTTTAATAAGAGACTTAGACATTCAATATTCATGCAACCATTTACTCACAAGCGTGTATTAAGTGCCCACTATGCCAGGCATCGCTGTAGGTCAGCCAGAGAACTATTTCAGGACATAAGAGTAGCCTTCCCTGAATGCTTCAAATCACACCTCAGCAGTCACTCAATGAGCTCAATGCACTTACGGGATATGCCACCTGTGAAAACAATAACATGTATATTTTCTATTGAAGAAGAGGATGCTCTGTCTAGAAAAGTGATGTTCTGTGCGAGCAGAGTTTGGGGAGATATAAACAAAGAATCAAGACAAGGAAAAGCAATCACATGACCAGTCAAGCATGGTTAGGCTAATCAATGCTGGAGATTCCCACAACACACGCTCTCTCGGCTTTCCTCCTAGTTCTCTGGCCTCTTGTTCTCCACCTCCTTTAAATGTTCATCTCCCTCTGTCCATCCTGCAAATGTTTGTGTTCTTCACCGTTTTGTTCATCAGTCTGCTTTTCTACATACTCTCCCTGGATTTTTGTATCCAGTTCTATTGGTCTCAATTACCACATATGTGGATGTCTCCCCAATCTAGAACTTCCTCCTAAGCCGCATACCAAGGCTTGCTAGGGAGCTCCCCCTAAATGCTCTATAAATATCTCAAATTTAACATTTCAAAAACTCAACCCATAGCTTTAACCATCCAGTCTGTTCTTCTATCACAATCCACCATGTTCGCTATGTGAGAAGCCACACTGTAACGGGCTCAATAAGGTTGACGTGGTATTTCCTTTACTTGTCCAACATTTAGTTCTTTTGAGCTTGTTTTCTGTGATTCTGAGAATACATTTCTGTTTACCCTGTCACTGACTGATCCATACTTCTCCTTTCAGACAATAATCTTAGCTTCAAAAGCCCATCTCCCTTTTTTTTAAGGCTTTAAGAATTACCTTGGTCTCCTCCAACTCTTTCACAAAAGACCAACTGAAATTTCTAACAGTAGAGTTCTATTACCTAAATTATGAATAAAAATCATGTTATAGATATATATTTACTAATCTAAAAATGTTTATGACTTACCGTTATAAAAAGCAAGTTTTAAAACTGTACAGAACATGGTAACAACGTTTGTTCTACAAAAACAAGTATGATCACAATAGCAGGGTAAATATTGCAGATGGGACAATATTTACCTCTATTCTTCCTTGAAACCCCACTAAAAGGACAATTCCATAAAGGAAATCAGAGAGAAACTGCAGATGGCACGCTTAGAAATGAAGTCAGGGAAGATGCCTCTGAGGCGGCCATGGGAGAGCGGTTATCCAACGGCTGAGAAGAAGCTGCTGTGAGAAGGACTGGAGAGGAGCACCTCAGGACTAAGGAGTAAGTGCCAAGGCCTGGAGGTGGCAAAGGCCCAAAGGGATTTTCATTTCCAAGAAATCAAAACCCAGAGAGAGCCTTTGATGGGTTTTAAATTTGGAAGTGACATGATCTGATTTTTTGTTTTTTCTCTTGCTATGGAAAGGAAATCTATTGGAATTTGGCAAGACTGGCAGAAGAAGACCAGTGAGGGTTCCATTCCTGCCATCCAGGTGAAAAATGACGTCATTGGACTGGGAGGTGAGTGCTGAGATTAAGAAATAGAGACATATTGGCCGGGCGCGGTGGCTCAAGCCTGTAATCCCAGCACTGTGGGAGGCCGAGGCGGGTGGATCACGAGGTCAAGAGATCGAGGCCATCCTGGTCAACATGGTGAAACCCAGTCTCTACTAAAAATACAAAAAATTAGCTGGGCATGGTGGCATGTGCCTGTAATCCCAGCTACTCAGGAGGCTGAGGCAGGAGAATTGCCTGAACCCAGGGGGCGGAGGTTGCGGTGAGCCGAGATTGCGCCATTGCACTCCAGCCTAGGTGACAAGAGTGAAACTCCGTCTCAAAAAAAAAAAAAAAAAAGAAATAGAGACGTATTCTGATGGTATATTTTAATGATATACTGATACATTTCATGACAGACATATTTTGTGATATATCCTATTTGTTCCATAGGACTTGTATTTGGATGTTAAAACAAGAGAAATCAGGCACGTCCTCAGTGTCTGCACTGTGGCAAAGGCTGTGCTGTTTACTGGGGTGGTATCTGTATACTCAGGGGATCTATTGATTGATTGAGCATCAGTGGGATGCCCCTTGGTGGGGGTAGAAAACTAAGATGATATCATCCCTATGTCTAGATGTATAGACTATAAATTACTTGCAAAAAATAGTCCAGTTCAGAGAAGAATTATTTGAAAGGAAATTCTTAGTTATATAGATAACTAAGATACACAGTTTTAAAAGGAGGCATAATACTGGCTTCTTCAAAGTGTTTCAACACAATCGGCCCAATTATCTTATAAAGAGAACTTGTTCTTATAAGGTGATGGATTCATTTGCCAAAGGAGTCCAGGCTTCTGTGGCAAAGGGACCCACTTATTGACTCTGCTTCTTGAGACTCAGAGTTAAGTAGACTTAGAAGGGTGGACAGAATGGTCCTGCCCAAGGCTCAGTAGATAAAACTGTCAAGGAGGTCCCTGAAATAACCTTGAAGAATGGGCAAGTCAAGGCTGGCATCCCAGGCTGCACTGTGAAAGGTCTCAATAGTGTGAGACTAAGGCTAGCCATGCTGACACAGTGACACACAGGTTTTGCTATAGTGAATAATGACAGAATATCTGGGTGCAAACTAAGAGCTATAACTTCAAAGCCCGCATTCAGAGCCTCCTTGGCATGCTGACAGGCATTCAGACCAATAAGGGCATGACACAGAATAGACAACATCTGTTGGCCTGTAGGCACAGTCTTCAACAGTGACGCCAGGTAGCGGCCAGGAGCAATAGCAATCCTGAGTTGATCAGTCATTACTAATCTCTTTATGCCCAGCACTAGGAGCAGGAATGGCCCTGCCCATCAACCCATCCTTTGCACCAAGTAAATATATCCCTGGTATTCTTGGGAAATTGGCCAGAAGAGAGGAGAGATGAATTGGCCAGGTAGGTAGAGAAAGGTCAAGAGTACTAGTTAGGACTTCCTGCTAATAGGGCACTTAGTGGCTTCAGTATGTTTCACAAATAAATAGATAAAACATATATGCTCAGATTTATATGCAAATTTGAAAGGCAAATCATTCAAATGTCTACTCCTTCAAAGTTATACACATATGAATGACATATAAGTGCATATATGTTTAATTTCCCAACACATTAAAAGTTGTTGCCTCTGAATGATAAAATATCTAGTGCATCCCATTAACAGAATCAGGCTTCAGAAGATGGATAATAAGAAACTTCTGTGAGTTAAAAGAACATGTTGTAGCCAAATGTAAAGAAACTAAGAACTTTGAAAAAAGGTTTGATGAAATCCTAATGAGAATAGACAATTTAGAGAGGAATATAAGTGAATTAATGGAACTGAAGAATACAATATGGGAACTCCGAGAAGTATGCACAGGTTTAAACACTTGAATTGATCAAGCAGAAGAAAGGATATCAGAGGTCGAAGACCAACTTAATGAAATAAAACAAGAAGACAAGATTAGAGAAAAAAGGATAAAAAGGAATGAGCAAAGTCTCCCAGAAATGTGGGACTAAGTGAAAAGACCTAATCTATGTTTGATAGGTGTACCTGAATGTGACAGAGAGAATGAATCCAAGCTGGAAAATACCCTTCAGGATATTATTCAGGAAAATTTTCCTAACCTAGCAAAGCAGGACAATATTCAACCCCAGGTAATACAGAGAACATCACAAAGATATTCCTCAAGAAGAGCAACCCCAAGGCACATAATCGTTAGATTCACCAGGGTTGAAACGAAGGATAAAATACTAAGGGCAGCCAGAGAGAAAGGTCAGATTACCCACAAAGGGAAGCCTATCAGACTTAAGCAGATCTCTCAGCAGAAACTGTACAAGCCAGAAGAGAGTAGGGGCCAATATCCGACATCCTCAAAGAACAGAACTTTCAGCCCAGAATTTCATATCCAGCCAAACCAAGCTTCACAACTGAAGGAAAAATAGAATCTTTTATGAAGAAGCAAGTACTCAGAGATTTTATTACCACCAGGCCTGCTATACAAGAGCTTCTGAAAGAGGCATTACACACAGAAAGAAACAACCAGTATGAGCCTTTCTAAAAATATACCAAAAAGTACAGAGCATCCACATAAAGAAGAATTTACATCAACGAATGGATAAAATAGGCAGTTAACATCAAATGGCAGTAACCCTAAATTTAAATTGACTAAATCCCCCAATCAAAAGATACAGCCAAAACCCAATGGTATGCTACGTCCAGACCCATTTCACATGCAAGGATACACAAAGACTCAAAACAAAGGGATGGAGAAAGGTTCACCAACCAAATGGAGAGCAAAAATAAATAAATAAATAAATAAATAAATAAATAAATAAATAAATAAATAAAAAGCAGGAGTTGCAATTCTCGCATCTGATAAAATAGATTTTAAAGCAAGAAAGATATAGTGGTAAAAGGATCAATGCAACAATAAGAGCTAATGATCCTAACACCCAGATACACAAAGACTTAGACTCCATGAGACAGAAAATTAATAAGGATATCCAGGACTCGAACTCAGATCCGGAACAAGTAAACTTAATAAATATTTATAGAGCTCTCCACTTTAAATACACAAAATATACATTCTTGTCAATACCACATCACACCTACTCATAGGTTTAAATGAAACATTGATTGGCCATTATTAATACCCATTTTTTAGAATAAAGCAACATTTCTGTTCTCTCTCCCTCTTTTTCTTCCTCTCCTTCCCTCCTTTATTTTCTTTCCTTCTCTCCAAAAAAAAAAAAAAAAGAGAATTATAGGGTTCTTGTTTTTGTTTTTTTTTGTAATAATAACCTATTTTTATCTCTTGATATTTGCAGGATCTCTTTCATTGCTGATATTGAAAAAAAAGAAAAAATATATCTAGGTGACATATAATTTTTTTATCTTCAAATTTTTCCAAATGTAAAAATTATATGTCAGGAAAAAAAAATAATGTTAATTTTTTTTTTCTAAGGAGTAGAGGGCTACAGAGTTTAATATAGTTAATTGAAAAACTCTGGACTTTTTTTTATTTTGTTTTTTTCGCTGAATGTCTAAGGCCAGTGTGCTACCCACAGAACCCATCCAGTATGAACTTTGAGGAATTTCCAGG